CTCTGCTTTTTACATTTATTTTTCACTTGATTAGAACGAAAACATCCGATGTGGGAGCCAAGTGGGTACAGCAGAAGCTCTATTCACGAGTACTTTAATCCCTGCTTTCCTTTCACCACATAGAAACCACTGCTGTATTCTCTGGAAATGTTTGTGTTTGTACATGAGCACAGGCGGCTGTGGCATTGCTTAATGAGCCAACTTGTTAGATTGGTTTCGTTTAGCTCTGTGTAGTTCGGGTTGTAGGACTCAAACAAAACCTGTTTTTGTGTTGAGAAGTGTGGACTTTTGTGTTGAGAAGTGTGGATGACCTTTTTGTAGACAAATGTCACACAACTTTTTTCACTACAGGACATCTTCAGAAATAATCATGCTCCGTAAGTGGCTTCTTGAGGGTTGAGAGCACTGTAAGGAGTGTCCCTTTCATTTGCACACTGTGCTCTTACCTGGACTTGGGTTAACCAGGGAAGTTTCCCATTCCGATTTGAGATCATTGAAATGCTCAGCTAAAACCCGCAGGACTTAGTGCCCTTCAAGGGGTTGTGGCATTGTCATGTTATAACTAACGACTTGGCGTACAGACATGAAGGTATCTGCCCTTTTTGCAAGTCCCCTGAAGAAACTGGCTCCGGATCTGGGAAATAGTATTGCCTTTTATATCCCAGTCAAGAGACACGGTGCTCGTAAAGAGTAGAGGAGTGCTGAATAACAAACGGTCTATTTTGTTAGTGAATATAAAATAAGGCCACGAGGTGCAATACCGGGAGGGCAGTGATATGTGGGCAGAAAGTGGCTGGGCTGACATTGCCCGGGAGCCGTCGATTTTGAGGTGAAGTAGACAGCCCTGGTCATGTCAGCATCAGACTGGATAACTCGCAAGAACTTTCTGTGTGACTGCTGCTGTTTTTCCTCTTTGTAATAACATATCACCTCACTAAGGATAAAATTGGATCTTTAATGTGGGAATAAAAGAAATCAGCATAGGCTTGAGTCTTCACTGCAAGATGTTGTGCTGTTGGGTGTTGTGCCCTCCGGTTACCCACCCACTTATCTACCTGGAAGGTGGTATTATCTCTTATTTGATAGATCAAATTGTCTTTTTCAAGGCAATTGCCTGAGGCTCTTGCAAATGTGGGCTGCATGTAATTCCTGCAAATTAAAACATTGGCGGTTCTACCAAATAACAGCTGAGGGAGCAGGAAATAAAACTGTTCAGAATTGTGTCTAAAATCCATTCTTTACTAACCTTGTTTAAAACTGTACCGTGAGACATAGAAATGTATCACTTCTGATCTTTTATCTTTTTATTTTCTTCCTTTCTAAAATGAATAGCTAAACCCCTTTTGCCACCTCTGGTCTTCAGTGCTATTCTCTTTGTCCCTGTGTGTTGTTTTGCTGCTCCCTGGTGTTCTGGCAGAACCTTCTGACTTTGTATTGCCATCAGATTTCATCAGTTTTCAACTACTTTTCTGTTCCAGGATCATTTATGAAAGTATTAAGTAAAATTGTTGCAAAGGCCAGCTGTTGAGAAAGTGCAGTCATAACTTCCTTTTCAGCCCAATGATTATCCTTTCAAACACAATTCATAATCTTTCCTTAACGAATTGTTTACCCACCTTTGTTCTTGTACTGATTGCCCATCTTAATTTAAGAAGTGCCTTGTGGGAAGCTATGTATGATAAAGTGCTACAGAATATCAGAGAGGGAGCATGCTTTTTGATGATGTTATGATAAAAAAAAAATGCACTTTGTTCACGAATTCAGGTAACTTTAGAAATATAATTATCATAATTACATTGGAGGTAAAACAAGGGTACCACACACTGACTGTGCAGTTAGCTTTGGCTGTGAAAGACTGAAAGCTTGAATTCCAGATTCATTCTCCATCCACTGTTCTCCTTCTTCCTTTAGGATGCACATAATAATAGTAATTCAGTAATACTATAGGTATTCAAGCATTTTCCATTTCTTTACACTCTATTCTTTATTACACTCTTGCTTTTTCCTCCATGTAGAATGCTGTTCTAAAATTTGGATTTTTTTCTGTTTCCTGTTGTGTTGACAAGCTGTGCTTGTGTATTCCCTTCTCTTTTCCTGTTCAAAGTCCAGGCGAATGGCAAGTTATCAGAAGCTCATATCGACAGTGACACTGGTATGGAAGCTGTGCCAGGTGGGCCTAGAAAATCGGAACAGGAGCTGGCTGAGTGTGAACCCGCTCTTGAGCGAGAGCTGTTTTGATTGTGAAAGCTGACATGAACTGCAGAATTCCCAGCATCCTTGGTGCCGAAAGCTATTTCTGCTCATCATGTGTTTTCAGCGGCCGTGTGCTCGGCACAGTAGGCTGCGCATGGGAGCAGTGCCGAGAGCTGGAATTGTTCGGGACAGGCAGAAATACTGACCTCTGTGTTTACGGGGTTGCGTGATTATCTGCAATGAAATTTCCTTTTCTGCGTGAAACTTGTAAGGATACCTGTAAGAATTGTTTTTGTATTTAGACTGTAGAAAGGGGAGACCCCAGGAAAACAATCAACATCTGTTAAGTAATCCAGCTCATCTCTTGTGCTAATGTGACGTCATCTGTGATTTTGCGGTTGCTAGGCTGCTCCAGCTGCTCTGGACTGGCATAGCAAAGCCTCCGCGACTTTAAAGGGGGGTGCGTGTAAAATACAGCGGCATAGGTTGTGCTTTATCTGCACTTGCTTTCTTAATGCTTCTAAATGTCATTACTCCCTCCTCTTTTTATCATAGAAGTGTTTTTCAGAATCCTTGCAAATAAAATCCTTCTTTTTATAGAGGCTGGTAGTTCTTATGCATTTGAAAAAAAAAAAATCAACATGGCAACTTGTTAATTCAGAGCTGGATCCTAGTGCTATATATCATTTATGTTTTGATCAAGGAAAAAACAGTTTGTGGAGGAGATGAAAAGGGAGATGACTGCAGGGCTTCTGAGCGTTGGTGAGAGGGAGCATCAGAGCAGTTTTTGATGTAGTTCTATAAGATTGGGGGGGGCCTACATATGAAAAACAAACTACTGCTTGGTCCTTAGTATTTCCTACTTCAAGTACATATAACAAATTGTGAAGTGTATAAACATAAGTGTAGTTGCATTTTATAAGCATGGATTTAGTTTTTAAGCATACTAGCAAGGGGAGCTTACAACTGCCTCTTTTCCCACTTTTTTGCCACTTTTCATTCTATATTGCAACTAAAGAGCAAATTAGGTAACTGAAAAATGGAATTCATATAACTTTAACAGATGAAGAATGTTTTAGTCCTTTTTCTTTTACCTTCTATGCAGGTGTTTAGGTAGACATTGCTTGGGGCACAAAGCTGAAATCTGCTTCTTGATATGCTTCAAGTAAAAGACTGGAGATTTTTTACATGTGGATGCTCCATCCAAGTTGAATTTGAACTTTCCAGACCCCAGTAAGAGAATTCCATAGAGCTGATCAATTACCTGAATGGGGCGGGCAGTCTTGGCATTTCCTACTTTGTCGTCTAATCCTTTAATAGACGCTTTGAAGAAAAACTTGTTAAGCAAAATTATCCCAAGCAGACCGAAAATTAATGAAAGCCAAAATGGTCATTGAGTCATCTCTTGCACTTAGGATCATTTGAATGAAGGAAATAACGTTTAGAAATTATGTAGGAGGATTCACTGTATTTTATAATCAGTTAGATAAATGCTATTAGAGGATCTACAGATGAAAGAAAGCATTTACTTTTATCTGACTTTTGCAGGGATCAAGTTTTTACCAGAAATTAAAAATACTGCACTCAGCCCTTCAGGGTTGTTTTCCAGTTCTTGTCTAGACTAGAGATATTGATTTAAACCACTACTTTGACACTACTGTGTGATGTATTTTTATTTCCATATTGTCCTGAGGACATTTCTCTTTAAGTGCCTGCTAGGCCACGCTTTATAGTTAGGAAGTCCAGAGAGCTGATTTTTTTTCCTGAATATCTCAAAGTATCTTTTTGAAGAACGAGAGCTTAGCATGGAATGTTCTTTACAAGCCTGTATCAGATATGATTCTCAAGCCATTCAGATTTTTTCTGCTATAAATGCCCACTGGAAAGACCACACAGGTCTGTAAAGACTAAGAGAAGGTTATAGGAAGCTAATAACATCTTTCTGTGCTTAGGGGACATGGGGTTTGATGGTAATTATACACAGTTGATAGCCTCAGTTGGAAAAAAACCACAAACAATATCTGAGAAAGTCCACACACTGAATTCTTCTGGAAAAGATTTCTTCAGACTAGGGGTAAAAGCATTACTTAGCAAAGCTCTATCTGTTCCCTGGGCAAATGGAAGCCTTCAGTTTGAAAGAAAATACTGCACTTCCATTAGAGAATGGAACATTTTGAAGACATGTTAGTTTATAAAGGGTATTTAAGTGATTTTCAGCAGGGAGGAAAAAAGCAAAAATCTTTCAGATGGCTTATTAAAGCATTTTTTATTCTTAAAAGCAGAGTGATGAGTATCTGGATGTAAAGATAAGGAATATCTAAATGTCACTTTAAAAGGTCAGTGTAGTGCATAGGACAGTACAAGCTTTATTGAACAGTTGAGTTCCTCGTGCTTCAGAGAAGCTTGGTAAGTCTCCTGTGCAGTGCCAGTGTTTACAGGGCAATGAAACCAGAAAAAGAGATTATTTCTGCATGCCTGTGGTGAAAATCCTATGATATTTTTTTTTTCCCAAGTCTTGCTTCTTAGAAATATGTGTAAGCAAGGAATTCTTGGTTTCCTTTAGAAACAAACTGATTTCCTTAGGCTTGCAAAGGAACATTTTAAATCTAGCATTGAAATGTTTAGAACACTTCAGGTTCCAGTCCCAGAAAAATAAGAAAACACAGCTTTCTCTTCTTTCTGTCCGCTTTTTCCTTTCCTGTTATTTTGTGGATGTGTAGAATGACAGTTTGGGTACTGCATCTGTCCACTGTTCTTTAAATGTAGTAATTGTGGCGCACATTTTCCTGTATCCATTGTTATTACAGGTGCTGAGGATGTTGTGATGGCATTTTCCAGATCAGAGACAGAAGACAGAAGACAGTAACTACAGGGCACCTGAACAACACAGAACTGGAGAGGACACTGAGATTCCTGAAGATAAAGGAGGATGGCTGAGCATTAATAAGTTCCTTTGCCCACCCTAATTGTTCCTTGGTATTCCTTCTCCTTTGTAATTTTGTTTCCCTTTGCCCAACCTTCAGAATGCATCTCACAGCCATCTATTCCTGTAAGGTTTTCTTACTCAGCTGGGCTGTGTTAATTAAGGACAAACCTAAAGGGGTATTTTTGATTGGCTAAAGGAAGACAATTTTTCAAACTTGACCAATGAAAACCTCTATCTTACATTTTATTTTATATTTAAAGAAAGTCTCTTGACATCCTGCTTCTAAAGAAGCTTTTCATGCTGTGGTGCTTATTTAGGTCAAACTTGTGAATTTGAAGAGGGTTTGATTGGGCTGTATAGAACTGGAAGCAACTTGTGACTGGCTGACAATGCAGATGCTTTCTCTTCAGTTGGCTTGCAGGTATTTTGCTGACTTTGACTTTTTCGTGACAGAAAGCTGATGTTTTGGTGCATTGGTTATTTCTTTATACTTACTGACTTGGGGGAAAAAGACAAATGTGCTTTGCAATATTTATTACATCTACACACATATAAATGCTTGCTTTTTGGGGTTTGTTTTGTTTTTTTGATTGGCTTTGAGATCATGTTTTTGATTTCCTATTGGCTGCAGTGTTTCTGATGCAATCAGTTTTTCCATACTCATCTGCTCTGTGGCCTCAAGCTCTTTTGGGAGCATGTATGGAAAGCATATTTAGTTCAATAAGTCTACCTGTTTAAGCTGGAACGTGGAGACCACCAGCCGTTCTGGGCTACTGTGTGGGCTGTACTACAAACTCCTGGTAGACCTGGCTGTTCAGGTGGCTTCTCTCTTTGCTTCTGACAGAGGAGCTGTAGATATTTTGCAGGAATTGCAAGAATGAGATCTATGGCCGTGACATGAAGTTGCCAAATTTGTATAGAGAATATGTGAACTTGTTTGAAATACTACGTATAGTTCCACTTTAACCCTTTAATTGCTGCACAAGACTTGCTCTCACATAAGGAAAAATTAATGTTCATTAACTTAAATCCAACTTGCACTGAGCTTTAATAAACTAGATTTCTAGTCACTTGAAAAATTGTATGTGGCTTGGCTTCTTGCAACTGTTTGGTGATATGGAAATTATCTGGATCCTAAGAGTACCATTTTCTTTAGGCACTGTTCCAAGAGGCAGTAGTGCTGCATTAAGCTGTCCAATAGTGAGTGTACAGGTGACACTCTCAGGTCTACACCCTTAGTAGTTGCAGGGCCTTAAAACAACACACGCGCATTTACAGACTGAAAAACCTGCAGTGAAATTCCTGAAGTGCACTGACTGTCAGGAATCTGCACATAAAATTTCTAGCACTGCTGCCTAAAACCTAGGACTTCATTTTCTCTCATATGTGCAGGTCTTTTTACAATACTTCTGGATTTTCCTGTGGGTTGCACTGACTTTAAGATGTTTCATAATCTATTAAAGCAGAACTCCATTCACTTGTTCCTGGTTCCTTTCATATGGTTGTTAATTATTTGAAGTAACAATTCCAGAATCTGACTGTGACAACATGACCATTTTCATGGCAAGAAATTATGATGACAAGATGCTGTTATGGTCTCAAAATGAGGAAAAAGCTGGAGAGAAACCATGGAATGTATGAAAAAGGAAGAACGGACTTGTGAGCACAAGGAGGGAAATTATCTTGAGCAAATAAATACTGTGTAATGAGAACAACTGTACATCTATTTTTGAAAAAGATCTTCTTGATTCAGGTGCAGCTTTGTAAAGTTCAATGTGAAGGTAAATCTTTTACCCCTGTTTGTTGGGGCCAGATAAGAAATTTCTTTATTAAAATAAACCAGGAATGAGCCCAAAAGATTCTTTAAATTTTGTCCTGGTTGCCTAAGAGGCACTCTAATTTTAATTTTGGTGCAAAGGGAGGCAGCCCTTAAAGGGTTAATTTAAAGGGATACTGTGTTTCTGGCTGCTGGCTGGAATGAGTGGGCTGGGTTGTGGTGGCCTGTCGTTGTCAAGCTAACATGCATCCTCCGTGTGTATCTATGGCATTTCTGAGCTGTTAAATCTTTTCAAGGAGAAAAGTGAAGTGTTTATGTGGTTTAATCTTTTCACTGAAAATGTAACTGTTGGAGGGGAAAAATACAGTTTTTAATAGCTACTCTTGTTTCTTCTTGATTTATTATACTGTTAAACCACCAAATGGAAAATACTTCCTTCACCGTTGTGGATGACTTACATGTAGACTCCAGACTTGGAGTCTTGAGTAATAGGTTGAGAAGGATATGTTGAGAAAAGGCAATGTGTCGTATAACAACATGATTTGGGATTCAGAAACTGGAGAAACTGAGAATATTTGTGCTTGCTTTGTTACCTGTGTGCTCTCCCCCTCCCCACTGGTGACTTCCTAACTTTAAACCAGGGCTAGAAGATTTATAATAAAGAATTTGTATATAAATTGGGAAGAAAGTAGTGGAAAAGAGGGCTTTCTAATATTCCCCTTGAACTATACTTCTAAGTATTTATCATCTTACTATGAGAACTAAATTTTTGTTACCACTGTGGAGCCTGGATTAATTGGGAGGCAGAGAAAACTGTATGGTTGACTTGTATATTGTATGTACAAATTTCTCTAGCTTTACCTTTGTGCTTTTGCCTGCTTAGGCAAACCATTTCTGATAAAAATAAGAAATCAAATGTTTTAGAGGTTGGAGAAAGATGTAGAGCTGACTCAGGTACTCCTCTCATCTCTCTCCAGATGGGTAGCAACTGCTGTAATTGTCGGTAGGTCAATTGTGTCTGTGAGCTTTGCCCATTGTAAATGAAAATGAGACTCCACCATTCTCATAGGCCTGTAGATTGATTCTGCCAGGTCCTAGAATAAACCCTGGAGTAACAGAACATGTGAGCTGCTGGCACAGCAACACTTTGGGAGGAGCTATTGCCTGAAAGAAGCTGGACCACTAATAAAAAAAAAAAAATAAGCTCTTCAGTTTCTTTGTTCCTATTCCTAGCTAAGGTAAGTAGTTACTGTAAGTTGTCTCCTTCTGTTGGCCATTCAGTGTCCTGTGTGAAAGTTTCTAATGCTTTACGATTAAATCTGTTTCAGTTCCATAAAGTCTCTGTTTCTAATTCACCAGCAGCCTAAATAGTTCTGGTGAAGGCTAAAGATTAAGTGGCCCATGAAATTCAAAGACCCCTGTCACGTCTAGAAAAGATCATCCTAGATAAGACTTCAGGGTCATATGTGGGATAAATTTGTATAGCTATTGATAATCTGTTACAAGAATAGAGCAGTGCCATGTCTAAAGTTATCAATGTTTTATAATGCAGGAGGGAAAAAAATAAAGGCCAGAAGTTGAAAGCTTTGAATCAAATATGTATAATGTGTGTTAGAAATTATGTTATTAAAGACATACTGAGTGCCTGGGCAACGAGGGGAATATATGATTTGGATTACCTTAAGATCAGTCCTTCAGCTTTGTTTTTGGTCTCTTGCCTCCTAAAGGACTGTGTGGCAGAGCTGACAGCAAAAAAGGCTGCAGGGCACTGGGACCAGCAGAAACCAACAGTGCAGTAAGAACAATTTCTGGAGGTTTAAGAAAGCTTCAGTAGTATTCAGTCTCTACAACAGAAAGAGTCCTTAGTGAGTAAGCATCTCTTCCTCATTGTTATTCACCAGTAACAACATGTTCCAAAGCTTACTTGTTAATAAAGAGCTTTTAAGAAGCTTTGTCAAAACTGCAGAATAGTTGTTTCAGGTGTAAGAGTAACAGGAGCACTAAAGTGTTGCACAGTTGCTGCCTTGGTGGTGTATTTGCGGAATGCAGCTGATTTTTAGATGGCCTCACAGCAATATGGTATATTTCTAGCCTCAGCATCAATCTGTTCAACGCTGGCGTGAAACTGGACCTATTTGTTACTCAGCGCTGCAGTCAGAGGTATGTGTTGTATGCAGGGCAAACCCTTCCCTGTTCACAGCATCAACAGGAAATAAAAACTATTTTTAAATTTCTTTTAGGTGAAATGTTTTCACTGGTTTTATTTCACCTTCTGCCGCAGAGTAGTGTTAAGGATCCTGTCAGGTAGGTAGGCCCGAATGAATTATTTCAATAAACTTAAGCAATGTGAATGGCCTTGTGCAAATCTAGGTTTTAAAGGTGTTAAAATATGTCAGATTTTGGTAGTCATGAGCCAGGCGTAGCACTGGTGGGCGTTTGGCAGTCAGACTGTTTTGTTGCAGCCTCAGGTTCATGATCAGTGTGCTCTAGTGCTTGCATCCTGCAGATTTTGTGTCCTGTGTGCCTGTGTATCATCGTCAGAGCTGCACTAAATAGGTCACTGGATTGCCGTGGTTCTTCCTCCAGATCTGCCTTAGATTTGCTGTGTAAATACAGCAAGTCTTTACTGACACTTTGTGCTACAGTTTCCCTTAAACCTCCTCATTACTGATGCTTTTCACACCTTTACAAATACAAAAGTGCTGTGTAACAGGGAGGAGCATTGTTATTACTTACCAAGGTAAGAGAGGAGCTCGGATCTATTCCACGTCAGCCTGTAGTAGGTTTCCATACAGAGACAGAAATCACCTACTGTCTTCTGAGCTCTGCTTTCATTTCTTTGCAGCTGATTTGCCCTAAGCAGAATTCCTGCAGTGTGTTATAAACAACCTGGCTAGTTTCCTTTGTAGCATGAAGCACTTCAATTTTGGGGATTATTTATTTTGGAAAAGAGAAAAAAATTTTTTTGAAGCTTTATAGCCTGGCCTGCTTACAAGCCTCTTGTATCAGCTTGAAATAGTTACATGTACAGAGCTTTTTCCTGTCTTTACATTTTCCAGGTTCACTCTCCTTGCTACTAAATGCTAATCTGTGACCAGAGGGCTGTGAAACTTGGAAAATAATCTTTTAGCCTTTGTTTAACAATTAAAGTACTGAGTCCAAGGCAGGTCTGGGCTGATGCATCTATACTTTTCTTTAGTTTTTCACCACAGGTGATTATTGCTGCCCTTTCCTGCTGCAGTTCCAGGTGCAGCAATCCCTGCAGGGTCAGAAGATGATCCCGTCTGTCCCCTCAATGGGAGCAGCTGGCGACACTCGATGCATAGCAAGCATGCTCTCCTGGTGCGTTGTGCACATCAAGTGCTACACAGCACCTGAGCTCTTTGGAACCCCCCAGGGAAAAAGGCCCTTTACCCACTCTGTGAGTAACACAGGTGGTTAATAACTAATTTTTTTTCTGGTTAACCTTGCTACTTTAAGTTGGTTGAGCTCAATCCTAAAGTTACATCTGCATTGGGAGTTGAGACTCTTAGAATATTAGGGACCCATTTAGTGAGATCTGTGTTTGAATAGCTATTGAATACTGTTCTTGGCTTAACTGTTATAGTCTTAGCCCCAAGAAAAAAGTTAGTTTCCTGTATTTTGTTTGCACTGCACACCACTTTTATATAGCTAATTTCAAATTTCTGAAGACACAAATCATAATGAAGTTATTCAAGCATGCAGAGTTTGCTGTTCACACCGTAGTCCACACGTCACGTAAAACACATT